GAGGAGTATTATATATTTTTAGCACCTTTAGATGACAGAAGGGGTGGAGCCATGGCACCTGGAGAAGATGAATCACTATTGTGGCATGCCTGGTGAAAGGATTCCATCGAGCAGGGCATGAAGTTGAGGAGCCAGCGGAGGCTGGAGACTATTCAAAGGCTTGGGCCACGCCTCAGTGTTTCCTGACCCGTCAACAGGAAGTCCACATGAGGTTCACTTTCTCTGGGATGCAGCAGGTGTGTGGGCCCTGCAGAGCTTGGCTCCAAGAACTTTTCTAACCTTTTCAGGCTGGAAGCTTCGGCTCCCCCTAGACTGGGTGGCACTTAGGTGGAGAACAGCCCTGTCCATTCAGGTTTTGGCCAGCACAAACTGGGCACAGCTGTTGGCAATTTGGCAGAATCCTAGCCCAGGAAGGCCTCTGGATGGAGGAAGGAGACAGAACCCTCTAGAAAACAGTGGTTCTCAATTGAGCACAGCCTAGGCTCACGAGGAGGGTTTGTGAAAACACACACACGTTGCTTGGGAATGATTCAGCAGATCTGAGAACCTGCATGTGTACCTTGTGATGTTGCTGATCCGGAACGAACACCTTTTGAGAACCACCGCTCTAGAGTGCCCTCTGGAGGATGCCCTGAGATCTGCACACACAGAATTGCTCCCCAACTGACCCCCAATGAATGCTGCCTCTAGTCTCACTGTCTTGTCCCCAAGTCTAGAACCCAAGTAGGGAGACCCTGGCTCTTAACCTTTAGCTGTCTGAAAGACCAAAACACACAACCCAGAGGTAAATTATTGTTGTAAGATTTTAAATGGCTTTATTGAGATATAATTCACATAACATACAATTCACCCATTTAAAGAGTGTAATTCCATGATTTTTCACATAGTCAGATAGGTGCAACCATAACCACAGTTAAGTTTAGGACATTTTCATCACCACAGAGAGAAAACCCATATACCCTTTGGCTATTGCTTTCCACGCCCTCTCATCCCCACCTCAGCCCTAAGCAACTGCTAATCTACTTTGTATCACTATAAATTTGTCTATTCTGGTCATTGTGTATAAACAGAATCCTATGCTATTGTGGTCCTTTGTGTCTGGCTTCTTTGATTTGGCATCATGTCTTCAAGGCTCATCCACGTTGCAGAGTTTGTCAGTGCTTCACTACGGTGTGTGGTTTAGTAATATTCCAGCATATGGATGCATCACTTTTTGTTCATCCATTCATCCATTGCTGGACTTAGTATTTTTTTGCAGTGAATAATGAATTGGTTACATGTTAAAATTCATAGAACTGTACACAGAGAGAACATTTTACTGTGTGTTACTTTTTAGAAAAAGGATAGGCAGCTTCCCTTTCCTGTCTCTTAGAACGTTCTCTTGGGTTGCCCGGAATTGCTAGGTAAGAACTCCTCAGACTTCTCTGAGACAGCCATGTGGGAAAGACCAGGTGTCCAGTCAATGGTCCCCG